AGAGAGGGAAGAAGTGCGCAGCACGCACGCAAGCTCCATCGCACCAACCACGCCAAAAGGATCCCCGTGACTGCACCGGTGGTACCCTACTACACACGAAATTCCCAACACGTATCCCCTGGGATCCTCACAACCAGATACTGCTGCGAGTATATCTAACATTCCCCCGGCTCGCAACAGTCTCTAACTGAAAACTTCGCTAACACCCGATATCTCAACCAGTCGGCGACCAAGGCCAACCCAGGGCGGCGCTCGCCGCACGAGATGTTCACCGGCGAGCAAGGGCCGTTCTTCCAGCCCGGCTTCATGCGCGAGGATCGCCGCACCAAGCTCGACGACCAGGCCACCCTCTGCTACTACCTGAACGGCGGCGACAACCACCCGAGCGGCACCGTCAAGGTCCTCAAGGCGTCCACCGGCCGCGTCGTCTACACCAACAACGTGTCGTGGGTGACGTCGGCGCCAGCCGGCGAGGGGGGTTCCGCTGGTATCACCGCTGCGCCGACACCCCCCCCGTTCACGCCGCCGGTCGTCTCGATCAACTTTGGCCCAGCACCGACGCCTTCGACCGCCACACCGCCACCGCCAGCGCCCACGCCGTCGCCCGCTCCCGCTCCCGCTGCCTCTTCGCCCCCTGCCGCAACGCCGCCGCCAGCGACCACGCCGCCGCCCGCTCCCACGACTTCACAGCCGCCCTCTGCCACTTCGCCGTCACCGTCGGCGACCCCCGCTCCTGGCCATCCGTCCTCTGCCTCTCCGCCGTCACCGTCGGCGACCCCCGATCCAGACCAGCCGCCGCCGCCGCCGGACCCCGCGATGCCCCCGCTTACGGCTCACGCCATGCGGCAGCTTCGCCCGGGTACAAAGGCCGAGGGTATGACAGACCCGCGGCTGCCAAGCCGTACGAGATCGGGCACGACGCACAGCACGGGACTCATCTCGATGCTAGACAAGAACACCCTGGTGTCGATGCTGGAGGCTCGGAGCGCGGTGGATAAGGAGCGCAGGGAGCTGGGGGGAAAGAGCTACAAAGAGGCCATGGCGTCGGAGCACCGGCACCTTTGGAGCGACTCTATGCAAAGGGAGTCTTATGGCTTATTGGAAGCGAGGACTTTTTCTCCGGCGAAGTAGCAATTAGTGGAGAACGCAATCAACGCTAAGTGGGTATTCGATTGGAAGGCAGATGAGTTTGGATGGCCCACTAAGGTTAAGTCGAGACTTGTAGCGAGAGGTGATATGCAGAGAGAGTACATTGACTTTGGAGAGTTGTACGCGCCTACCGTTTCTGTTTCATGTGTTAGGATGTTGGCTGCTTTGGCGTGCGAGTTGAACCTCGACTTGTGTCATTTCGATGTTGAGCAAGCTTTTGTGCGTTCGGAGTTGGAGGAAGACGTGTACATGCGTTTGCCGCAGGGATGTGGAGCTCTATCAGGAATGATTGTAAAACTAGGCAAGAGTCTGTATGGCTTAAGACAGGCATCTGGGCAGTGGCATGCAATGCTGAAGAGGTGTTTGGTAGAGTTAGGTTTTGAGCAGTGCATGGGCGATGCTTGTGTATTTCGTTTGAGTGAAAATGGATGTGTTGTTTTGATTTTGGTAGTACATGTAGATGACATTTTTGCTGTGAGGGAGAGGGAGAGATGTGACAAGTTTGACGCCGACCTTAACAAGTCCGTGCCAGTGAAGAACCTGGGAGAGTTGAGATGGTATTCTGGGTGCTTTTACGAGAGGAATAAGGAGACCGGTAGGTTGACGATTTCTCAGCAGACTTTCACGGACGAGCTAGCAGCAGAATATGGAGTAGTGGGAGGTAGGAGCGTTCCGATGTCTTCGGGTGTGAAGCTTTCTGATTTTGATGCGGATGAGGTGGCGACAGACTTTCCGTTTCGTGAGCTGGTAAGATCGATAATAATGTGGCTGGCGACTCAGACTAGGCCAGACATTGCGAATGCAGTAAGGGCAGTAGCTAGGTATTGCGCATCTCCGAAGCTGGTACACTGGAANGATTTCTCAGCAGACTTTCACGGACGAGCTAGCAGCAGAATATGGAGTAGTGGGAGGTAGGAGCGTTCCGATGTCTTCGGGTGTGAAGCTTTCTGATTTTGATGCGGATGAGGTGGCGACAGAGTTTCCGTTTCGTGAGCTGGTAGGATCGTTGATGTGGCTGGCGACTCAGACTAGACCAGACATTGCGAATGCAGTAAGGGCAGTAGCTCGGTATTGCGCATCTTCGAAGCTGGTACACTGGAATGCAGTGATGGATATTTTAGGCTATGCGAGGGGGACGAGTCACTTTGGTATTATTCGTTTCAGAGAGGTACGGTGGAGGGATTAAGCTTGCAGGGGTACGCTGATGCGGACTTTGCAAGCAAGGCAGCAGACCGTAGGTCGGTATCAGGGGGGATCGTGACGTGTGGAGGAGGCGCTGTGTCTTGGTTTTCCAGAACGCAAAAGTGCGTCACGCTTTCGACGACAGAAGCAGAGTACGTCGCGCTAGGCGACGTAGTGAAGGAGATTTTGTTTTTGAGGCAGATTTGGCGTTTCATGTTGCCGCAGGTCGGCATGCCGTGCATCCCCGTCTTCGAGGACAACCANAGCACCATATTCTCAGGGAACTGGTATAGAGGAAGGAAATTTCGGTCGTCCACGTGCCGTCGCCGTACCAGCGTGCAGACTTCCTTACGAAGAGTTTGTCGAAGGATGCTTTCGAATCTCACCGTGAATTTGTGATGAATTTGGAACGAACATTTTTTTTTTTTAATTGTTTTTCTGATGGGTTGTGTTTTGATTTTGTTCTGTTTCCCGTTGTGTTTCACTTCCCGCGCCCGCGCCAAGTATTTGTGAAACGCGATGCAGCATTCATATTTCTTTGAATTGTGTTTCTCTCTTTTATTATTCTGGTCAAGTCTTCATGGTATATATTCTGGGAAAGACGTCTTTTGGTTGAGATATCGGGTGTTGGCGAAGTTATCATTGAGAAACAGTTGCGAGCAGGGGGGATGTTAGATATACTCGCAGCAGTATCTGGTCGTGAGGATCCNGATCTCTCTCTCGGCCTAACACGGCCGACTACCCAGTGCCCCAAAGCAACGTCCCGAACGTGCNGCGAAGTTATCATTGAGAAACAGTTGCGAGCAGGGGGGATGTTAGATATACTCGCAGCAGTATCTGGTCGTGAGCATCCCAGGGAGACACGTGTTGGGAATTTCGTGTGTTGAAGGGTATCACCGGCGTAGTCACGGGGACCCTTTGGGCGTGGTCGGTGCGATGATGAGGAAGGATTGCGTGCGTGCTGCGCACTTCTTCCTCTTCTTTTTCTTCTTCCCTCTCCCTCCACCACCACCACCGTCTCTCTCCAATCAAGTTTCCTTCTCCTACTCTCTCTCGATCTCTCTCTCGGCCTAACACGGCCGACTACCCAGTGCCCCAAAGCAACGTCCCGAACGTGCTTGCTGCACCCCGCGTAGTTTACCTTTCAGGTCGGTGCGATACCTGTTCTTGTCTTTTTATCCTTTTGCTTGCTTGTTCCAAGTGGTTTGTACCCTATTTTGGTTTTGTTTCCCCGCGGCGTCCTATGTGCCGGGTTTTGAGACCTCGGGCTCCCCATTTTTTGTGGACTATAGTGCTATTGTGAGAAACAAAACAACAAATCCCCGATCAACAAACGGATTGAACACCAACAACGTAGCTGGTTCACCGAGTGTTGTCAAGATGCGTAAACATGTAGAGGCTTTGGATTTGGCACATTTTGATTTTTTCTATCTGCGGCGCAAAACGTGAGTAAACCAACTGATTTTTTGGCTTGTGTTGATGACGGGTGTAGAAGTGCTGTCACCATTGTTGTTGCACATACAGATAGATGGCGCCCGCACCTAAGAACTTCCATTTTGGCGTGAGGCTCGACGATTATTGGCTGCCTCAACCCCAGCACATGTGTTCATGGCCATGTTCGTATTCCGATCAGACATTTGGTCGCTGAAAACGGGGTTCTTGTTCTTATTTCACCGTCGAGTGCTCCAGAGGCGCAGCAGGACGCCCTTTGAGGACTCGCAGCTATGTACATACATCGATAGGAGGTGGAAATTGGCGTGTAATTTCATGCGGAAAAATAAGTTGCATCATCCCCATACAGTACGTCCATACTTCGCCGTACCATGCCCATACTGTCCATTCACCAGGCACCAAGATTACTGGCGGTCGACTGGGCCGCATGCTTTCTCAACAGACTTCGAGCGGATCACGCACCGCAGCAGCAATGTTCGCGGTTGAGTACTAGAGTTGGAGGCGGAATAGTTTTTTGTGGTGGTCGCACAAACGTTCCTGCAGTAGGCTCGTGCGTCTGTTCATTGGCCGGCTCGTGTGATTTTCTCGTCGTACAGAAGAACGGGGGGTAGTCCATCATCACCAGCTAGAGATGGGGGTGGTATCCATCATCATTCGCTAGAGGGGGGGGTGGTGTCCATCATCAGCTAGCGAGGGGGGTGGTATCTATCGTCAGCCGTGAGGAGGGGGTGCTNTGCAGTAGGCTCGTGCGTCTGTTCATTGGCTGGCTCGTGTAATTTTCTCGTCGTACAGAAGAACGGGGGGTAGTCCATCATCACCAGCTAGAGATGGGGGTGGTATCCATCATCATTCGCTAGAGGGGGGGG